TGGAATTCCTCACTGCAACCGGGGTGGAGGAAACCTTCGTCTTTTGCTGCTGGAAGTCCGCAGAGATCAAGGAGCATTTACAGTAAGAGCAGCCATTTTCGCCGTCTCTTCCAGGAAGGGGCTCCTTCCCTTTTTATGCCTTTGGTCTCTCGGCGTTTGAGGGGGCAGGAGGACAGAGGGATGGCGGTTGTCAGATAGATGTAACCGAGCAAGACCAATAATGGAGAATGTCTGTTGCTCAGGGTTGAATTGAGGGGACCTTGGTGCTCTCTGAGCTTGGTGGTTTTCTTGCAGACATTTCATGACCCAACTGAGCAACGCCATCAGTGCTAGAAGGTTTGTGGAGTGGAGGAGGAGGGGAGAGAGGAAGACGAGGAGGAGGGGGAGAACTGTGGGGTCCTTGGTGCTCTCTGAGCTTGTTTCCTTGCAGGCCTATCATGACCCAACTAGGGAACATCATCAGTGCTAGTCTAGGTTTGGGTAACGAAATAGCTGCAAGAAAATAACCAAGCGCAGTGAGTGACATAGCCTGTTGGGATAGGCATCAGAAAGAGGCAGACGGACATCTGGATACGGACATACTATAATTATACAGGTAGTCCTTGACCTAAAATCATTTGTTTAGTGACTGTTTGAAGTTACAAGGGCCTTGTGGGTCACATAGGGTTTGTCTTCACTCCGTGCAACTGTCCATCTGTTCCTCCCTAGATCCTTCCAGCGTAGGAGACCTTTAACTTTGGAATAGATTCACCATCCTTCTTTCCCAATATCAGAGTTTCTTCTCACCATTAAGGGAAGTTTCACCTTTAGACGCAGTCTGCTCCGTTGCCACTCATTCGCCATTTCTAGACTTGTTCTGTGGAACAGTTGAGAACAAGCCCCTACTCAATCTGCCCTACCTTGTTTAGTTTAAATATAGCCAGCTTTTTAGAACTCTCAAATTCTGAACTTTGATATCCTGCTTTAAATGCACTCCAATCTGTTAAAATTGAGACCCTGGGACCTTGAGGTTATTTATTTATTTATTTATACCTCACCATTATTATTTCTACAAATAACTCATGGCGACCTTCTACTCCAAGAGCGTCTCCAAACTTGGCCCTTTTATGACTCGTGGACTTCAACTCCCAGAATTCCTGAGCCAGCATGGGGAACTATGGCCCCTTCATGACTTGTGGACTTCAACTCCCAGAATTCCTGAGCCAGCCACGCTGAGGGGAAAGGGAGAGGTTTCAAAGCTGAGCCATGCTGGCTCAGGAATTCTGGGAGTTGAAGTCCACGAGTCATAAAAAGAGCCAAGGTTGCCTACCCTTGGTATAGGGGGAAGAATTCTAAATAGCTATGGAATCACCTCTGAAACCATAATTTTTGGTAACTTGTGAAGTTATTTCATACTGTTTTTTTTTCCTCAGCAGCTATTAGAATTGGCTTTGAACCTCACCTACCCCTGTGTCAGTATCAATATTTCAGATCCTGTCTGCTTCGTGATGTCATTCGCAGGTAGTCCTCAACTTAACAACCACAACCGAGCCCAAAAGTTCTGTTGTTCAGTGAGACATTTAAGTGAGTTTTGCCCCATTTTGTGACTCTGTTTGCCACATTCGTTAAGTGAATCGCTGCCATTGATAAGTTGCTAACCCGGTTGTTAAGTGAATCTGGCTTCCCCCATTGACTTGGCTTGCAGAAGGTCGCCAAAGGGGATCACAACGACCCCGGGACACAGCCACTGTCATAAATACGAATCAGTGGCCAAGCGTCTGAATTTTGAGCACGTGACCATGGAGGATGCTGCAAAGCTTGTAACTGTGAAAAACGGTCAAAAGTCGTATTTTTTCAGTGCCGATGTAACTTTGAACGGTCACTAAAAGAAGCGTTAAGTCGAGGGCTTCCTGTATATTTATATACTCATCAAAAAAAGCCAACAAGGCATTTTTCAGGGTGCTCTTTTTTACAGAGGTTCTCATTCAGTTCTTTCTGTCTCTGGTTTTTTTTCTCCTCAGAAACTCTAAGTGGTGCCATCCGACATCGCCTAACATTGTGCGGTTTGTCATCTCAGACCTGTATCGTTCCCTCGGCGACGTGTTGCGCGAAGTTGACATCAAGTGTCTCGTTCGTTCTGACTTTATCCTGGTCTCTGGGGACGTGGTGTCCAATATTAATATTTCTACCGCTTTACAGGAACACAGGTGGGTATTCAGGAGAAAGGGACAAGCAGCCCTCGACTTAACGGCCGCAATGGAGCCCAACATTTCTGTCGCTAAGTGTTGTTGAGTGGATTTTGCCCCATTCTGCGACCGTTGTTAAGTGAATCACTGCAGTTGTCCAGTTAGCAGCACAGTCGTTCAGCGAATCCGGCTTCCCCATTGACTTGGCTCGCATAGAAAGGGGCCAAAAGGGGACCGTACGAAATTCAGAGGCTTGGCCTTCAACTCATCTTTACGATGTCATAAAGATGAGTCGGTTGCCAAACTGCAACTGTCTGTAAATATGAGTCAGTGGCCAAGCCTCTGAATTTCAATCATATGACCATGGACAGGGGTAGGCAACCTTGGCTCTTTTATGACTCGTGGACTTCAACTCCCAGAATTCCTGAGCCAGCACGGCTCAGCTTGGAAACCTCTCCCTTTCCCCTCAGCATGGCTGGCTCAGGAATTCTGGGAGTTGAAGTCCACGAGTCATGAAAGGGCCATAGTTCCCCCATGCTGGCTCAGGAATTCTGGGAGTTGAAGTCCACAAGTCATGAAGGAGCCATACTTCCCCATGCTGGCTCAGGAATTCTGGGAGTTGAAGTCCACGAGTCATAAAAGAGCCAAGATTGCCTACCCCTGACCATGGAGGTGCCGCAATGGCTGTAAATGTGAAAAAAAAGGTCATAAGTCACTTTTTTCAGTCCCGTTGTAACGACAAACGGTCACTGGATGAACTGTTGTAAGTCGAGGACTATCTCCATAGGGCCCTTCTGGCAGGAATTATGCGCTGCTATCTTATCTGTGAGTGTATTTTATTATTATTTTTTTAAAAAAATTATCTTCTCCCTCTCTCCTGGTATAGGACACGGCGTAAGCTGGAGAAGAATGTGTCTGTAATGACAATGATATTTCAAGAGTGTTCGCCAGGACATCGGGCCCGATGTCCGGAGGACGATATTATCCTGGTTATGGACAGCGCTACGAAACGCGTGCTCCACTATCAGAGGACGCAAGGGCTGAAGCACTTCGGTTTTCCCATGGTGTGTGAACCAGGAAGCTAGAGAACAAGCAGCCACTTTTGCTATGAGTTTAAGACAGGGGTCTTCAAACTTGGCCCTTTTATGCGTGCCTGGCTGAGGAATTCTGGGAGTTGAAGTCCACAAGTCATAAAAGGACCAAGTTTGAAGACCCCTGGTTTAAGAGGACGCACGTCTTAAAGCTGACAAGGATGAGAAAAAAAACCATATTAACATACGTGGACTTCAATTTCCAGAATTCCCCAGCTAGCAAAGCTGGGAGTTGAAGTCTACACATCTTAAATTGGCTTGAGATACACTGAGTTAATAGCTAAAAAAACAGCACGGCCCAGTATAGTCACACCTTGGTACTTGGCTGCTTTAATACTTGTCAAATTTGCATTTTGACGGGAAAACTTTGTCCCAATACTCGTTTGGTACGCGGCATGCAAGATAGAAATTGTTGGTGTTGGTTGCCTTGTGACACGTTCCACTTTCCAGCTGAAATAGCTGGAATCACGCCATCTTATTTATTTTATTTATTTATTTATTAATTTAATTTATATCCCGCCCTTCTCCTTGCGGACTCAGGGCGGCTAACAACCAAATAAAATGCTACAACCAAAAAACTACAAATTAAAAACATAATTAAAATCAAATATTAATAATTGGTCTAGTAGTTAAAAATTACTTTAAAACCCTCATTAAAAATTTTTTTTCCCCTAGGCCAGTCCTGCAAGTTGGAATAACCATGTCTTAAGGGCGCGGCGGAAGGAAGGGAGATCAGGGATCACCCTGATCTCTGGGGGTAGTTCATTCCAGAGGGTGGGAGCTCCCACAGAGAAGGCCCTCCCCCTTGGGGTCGCCAGCCGGCACTGTCTGGCCGACGGCACCCTGAGGAGACCC